TCTCTCTCATTCTCTCTCTCAAATAAATAAATAAAATCTTTAAAAAAATAAAAATAAATAAATAAATAAATAAATTCAATTAGCCAACTTGTAGTACATCATTACAGGTAGTGGATTTTAACCACAGTCTGCCTACCTGACACGAGAATCCAGCTGTGCCAGGAGGACAGAGACACTTCTCTAGGAGGGACGCCACCTCCTGTCCCGGGTGCAACTCTCCAGCCTTCCTGCCAACCTCCATTGAAATATTTGAGATTCTGTGAAACCGTTAAGAAGTGTGAGAGGGAACATTAATACTGAGAAAGACACTTTCTAGAAATCTAGCACATTATATAATGAATTGGCATATATATTAAGCCAGAGCTTTCCTACAAGTTTGGGAGTAGCTCCTACCCGATTATAAAGGGAATGTATAAGAGCACATTAGTCCTGTCATCACACAGTGACGGGCCCCTGCCAACATGTTAGAACTTAAAAATAATATTACACAAAGCAACAACTCCTGCAGCACTAGTTTGGCTCTAACCCAGTAGCTTCCATTTATGGGATAAGTACTAAATGAGCAACTGACAGCATTCTTGATGTGTCATGACAAAGAAATGTCATTGAAATTTAAGGGCAGAAAATAGAACTTTTTTTGTTTTGTTTTGTTTCATTTATATTTTAACCTCATCTAAGATATCACCATATGTACTTATATTTTATATCCACATTAATTGGAGGATGGATAATCTAGGTCATTTTCCACATATTTCATATTACTATTTAATAAAGTTTTGGTGAGGAACATAAATACACACACATACACACACACAAATAAAGATACGAAGTAATAAGGGTGAATCAAATCTCTTCAGTTTTATTCCAAATAAAAAAAGTTTTTTTCATTATAGAAGGTTCCGAGTACCTGCTTTGCTGTAATCCTTGACCATAAGATGCTTTGATGAGGATGTACTCAATGTTGCTAAGAACAGACATAAAATCAGGGCGTGTGACAGGTTTTTCAGAAACGGAGTTAAAATACTTCCAAAAATTCTGTGGATGAGAAACACCTTCAATTACATTCCGATTTTACAAATCCTCAGAGGCTTATGAATTTAGTAGTTCTTTTATAAATGTCTCCGGAAGGGAGCCCGCTCTCCCGTCAGCTCCTGGGGCAGCAGCCGCGGTGCCCCCCGCACGGAGCAGCAGACACGCGTCACCTGCGCACCGCCCGCCGCGAGGCCGACTGTCCGCAGAGTCCAGCGAGTGCGCGTGCACACTTGCCAGAGCCCAGCCAGTCCAGAGACTTCGCACCATTACATCCACACGGATGGAGACGTGTGCACCACGATTTCACACACAAAGGATTTAGGATGCAATTCGCACCAAGGTAACATAAGCCTAGTGTACGGTTCTTGAGCATATGGAATTTGAATTGTTTTTACAAATCTTGCTAAGCCCACTGGAATTCTGACTCCCAGGTCTTCTAGCTCACTCTATTAGCAGCTTTGGGATTCCACTGCATCCAGAGCTAAATCCACACCGTTAAGGGGCGCGTAGGAAAGGAGGACATCGTCACCTCTTTCATTCCCACTTCCTGCTCTTGTCGTACTCCGTTCTCCGGGGAGGGCACGTCCACATAAATGACCTGCTTTCTGGTCCGGCCCCCTTTGATGAGCACTTGGGGCTCAAGGTTGAAGGTGCCGATGCCGTCGGAAGAATAGAAGGCCACGCTGTATTTCAGGCTGCCACCGTAGGCCAGGAGCTATGGGATTGTAAATGATTTACTTCTCTGACATAGCCCTGGCTTAAAACTATTTCATTACAAGCCTGTTGTCATTTGCAAGAAATCATGTGTCTTAAAAACACATCACAAGGGTGGAATCGGTTGTCTGGAATGTCTTTAAAAAAAGAAAAGATTTTATTTGAGAGAGAGAGAGAGAACATGAAAGGGGAGAGGTCAGAGGGAGAAGCAGACTCCCCGCTGAGCTAGGAGCCTGAGGTGGGACTCGATCCTGAGACTCCAGGATCATGACCTGAGCTGAAGGCAGTTGCTTAACCAACTGAGCCACCCAGGTACCCTGGAATTTGTGTCTTTTTAATTCTACTTAATTATGGATTATTAAGTTAACTCAAGCCACAGCTTTTTAAGTGAAGTTTTAAGTTTTTTAAAAAAACTTTTATTGAGGCATGTCTGGCATATAAAAGGCTGTACATATTTAAGGTGTACAACTCAATCAGTCTGGGGAGGAGGATACACCCATGAAGCCCCCACCCCCATCAAGGCCACAGACGTCACCTCCCTCAGCTTCCTCTCCATGGCACCAAAGGAAGTAAACGTAACAAATCAGTGTGGTAATGGCCCTGATTATATTCAGGCTCCTTTGAATTAAAAAGGACCTAGAGCTATGGGAACACTGGATACATACTGGCAAATTTAAAGATCTGGGTGATTTCACACATAGAATCCAATGTTCATTTAAACAAAAATGCAAGTGATGCCCTAAATACCCTGTTATAGTAGGGTATTACTTTCCCCCTAAATGAGTATCGATTTGTTGAGAAGAACCACAGCGCCTGAGCTTATGTTAATAAAAATGAAAAGGGTTTATTGAAGGACTGCTTGAGGAAGGAGAAAAATAACATGATGTGATTTTTAAAAGACTTTAAGATTTTATTTTTAAGTAAACTCTACACAAAATGAAGGGCTCGAACTCACGACCCCGAGATCCGGAGTCGCATGCTCTTTTGACTGAGCCAGCCAGGTGCCCCTAAAAGACTTTCAAATGAAAATTACTTGAGAGCCATATACATCTGGGGGGATTTTTGTAAGTGTTAAATGTCTCCATCTCCACCTAGAGGGAATAAGCACCTCGGTTAAGGGTCGGCTAACACAGTCCATCGTGATTTCAAGGGACACCTGTCTCCTCCGGGAAACGTGGACTGGCTCTAGGCCAGGTGGGGGCCTCACCTGGTCTCCCTGGAACTGCTCTGGCAGCCGCCAGTAAAACGGCTCTGCGTGGACATGTCGCCTGACGGTCACAGCATTCAGGAGGATGTCAGGGGCCTGGTAATACACCCCCTCAGCCGTACCCTGGAGGTTGCTCTGAGAAACCACACGCAGGAGGGGCTGCCCTGAGCCCAGCATTACCTGGTCATGGAAGGGGAGAAAAACAGACCTGAGAGCACGAATTCACTCCTCACCTTCGATTCGTCAGCTTCTACTGCTGATCCACAGACCAGACAGCTTTAGTATTAAAACAGGAGTAACAAAGACATTTCCTTCAAACTCCAACATCTGGGTTAATAGGAAAACTGCATGTGTTTTACACTATTGCATTTAGGGCCAAACTATTGCTCTATTGGGGCAGGATTCAGTTATAGGAAGGAAGCTGTTGTATATTGCAGTTTTATCTCCAACAAAAGCTTTTGATAGATTAGCTCAGGAGCAACCCTGAGCACTTTAGTTCCAGCTTCATTTATTTCCTCGGATGGCAGACACAGAGCTCGGATTCATAATGAACCCAGATTAGCTTCCTGGAATTTCTGATGCCATAAGAGCAAAATTTAAAGTAAGTTCTTGACTATCTCCCCTACGGTCACCCAACTTCCATGGGAGGGGGGCAGGGAAGGAGGCAGTGTTTAGAAACAGCACATTAGCACATTTTCCCGCATGTGTAACTTACCGGCATCCTCACATAACCCTCCAGCTCTGAGCAGACTTGTGACAGCCCAAAGCAGAAGCAGGGGCTACATCCCAGAGGGTCAGCTGCATGGAGGGCGTAGGTACCAGCTCGACACTCGCTGCAGTGAAGACCGAACACATTTTCCTAAAGGAGAGAAAGCAATAGACTCGTTTATTTTTACCTGGGGGAAAAAAAAAGAGACATGACTTCCGAACAGAAATGAAATAAAACACAAAAATAATTTTGGACCCACAAACGTCCCCGAAGCAGCTGTTTCCCTAGGCAAGCTCCCTAACCTCAAGGAACATCCACCCTCTCAGCACTGCCAGTGATTCCCAGATGCGGCTGATCAGCAGAATCATCTCAGAAGCTTTGGGAATATATAGATTCCCTGATGAGCCTCTCCTGGAGCGAACTCGAGACACCACCCTGAGGCCCCAGGTGACTCTGATGACTGGACAGGTGGTGGGCCATGGACCAGGTGATCACTAAGGCAGGCCCCTCCTGTTCTGACTGTCTGTAATGAAAGCTGCTATTGCCGATGGGGTAAGCCAAAAATATGTTCACTGATGTTTCCATTACTCCCAGGCCATAGTATCTGATGAGCTTTCCCTTCCTCATCCCTAGTCACTGATCAGCCCACTACTCTCTCTCTCTTCCGTATCACCAGCACCTGGAAAAGGACCAGAGGAGGTAGCCAATTACCTCCTAATAACAAAGCACAACGGGGAAATCAGTGGAAACACATGGAATTAAACATGATGTTGACATCTTACCTGCCAGGAAAATAAAACACACAAATTTCCTTCATTCTGGCCAGCACATACAAAAGAATAATTACTTACCAGTTAGAAAATCACAAATCTTCTATTTATTTATTTATTTATATTTTTAAAATTCTTTTAAGGGGGGCTGAGGGAGAGAGAATCCCAAGCAGGCTCCACACTGACCTGAGATCATGACCTGAGCTGAAATCAAGAGTGGGACACTTAACCCAGGTGCTCCGAATCACAGATCTTCTTGAAGCCCTGTGTTACCTGTTTTAGCTGTACACTCAAGATGGACCGGCTGCTCAGCTGACTGGAACACCTGACAGAAAACTCAGTGTGTTTCGATTCAGTTCTATCATCTGACACAATAACCAGTAAAAATTCCATTTAAAGAATCAACCATTGTTCTCGAAGAGCCTACATGGAATTTAAACCTGGTAGGGAGTGCGGACTCACTATGAAAAGCGTCTAAAACCTAGCTGCTGATCTAAATGGTTAAAGATTTCATTTATTTATTTGACAGAGAGAGAGGCAGAGGGAGAGGGAGAAGCAGACTCCCCGCTGAGCAGGGAGCCCAACACGGGACTCAATCCCAGGACCGTGGGATCATGACCCGAGCCAAAGGCAGACGTTCAACCAGCACCCTTGATTTAAATAGTTAAAAGCCCCAAAGTCGTAGTGATGAGTGAGGGGGAGAGAGCGGAACGCCAAGGGCCGTTACCTTGCAAGAGCAGCTGCCGGTTTCCTCTGCACAGCTGCACAGACCCTGTTCCTCATCACAGGTGTCTGCCAATGTCCCTCGCGGGTCACAGTCACAGGCCACACAGTCTGGAAAGTGTCTGTACCCCAGGGAGCACTGATGACAGCCTGGGCCACCAAAGGCAGGCTTGCATCGGCAGTGGCCAGTGAGTGCGTCGCATCCATGACCGGTGGACCCAACATCACTGCAGTTGCAGGCCTGGGAAAATAAACTCACAAATAAAACGGTGCTTTGTACATTCGTATAATGCACACGTGTTGGGATTACAGGAGAACACTAAACGTGGGGACATCATACAAATACGTGGGTCTCCTTCACTATGGCTGCAAGGATTCACTTGGCCAATCAGGAGGCAGCGGCTGCCAGGCTGGACCGCTGTGCCTCTCTGGGGCCCATGTGCACTGGGCTGACCCTGTCACCTGATGGCCAGCCTGGCGGCAGCATCTTACACATCAAAGCAAGTCTGGTTTTAAAACGCAAACCACATCCAAGTTCAACTGAGGAAAGCTACATTGAAAATAGAACCGTTGAAGATGGGCTGTAACCCCCCAATAAAGTGACTTCTGCCCTCCTCCTGGAAGATCATGTACACAGCAGCGTAGTTTAAAGAGCACTGAAGTTTCCAAACCATCAATTCCATGGCTGGGTTCTTAAAAAAAAAAACTTAGAATAATGTACTTTAAGGCAGCTGCTTCTTCCACCTGGATGCTTGAACCCGTACTGAGTTTTAAATATAAACCATGGAGCCATTCAGCAGGTCAAGGTCAAGTGCATGGATGAAAGAGGAGTGAAACTTGCTCCAACGAAGTGCTTCCCAGTTAAGAAGATGCAGATGGTGGTGCGTACCTGGCATCCGAGCTCTAGGTTGTGGCCCCAGTATCCGTCCTCACATTCGTCACAGGTGGTGCCCCGAGTATGAGGAGGGCAGATACACTCCCCCGATTCCGGGTGACAAGTGTGCTGTGTGTGAGCGCAGTCACAGGCTGCAACAGAGACACACGGTGTTGTTACGCCTCAGGACCCCCATGCAATCGAAGGGGTCACAGCTGATGCTATAGGTTCTCTCCCTTTGATTAATTATCTAAACTGTTCTAGTTCCTAACAGAGACCTCGTGATTCCCAAGACCTGTCCGTGTCTCTTGGGAGGGGGCTGTTCCTCCTTGTTGAGAGATGTTGTTGGAAAAGGGGTAATCAGGACAGAGAAATAGAAATAGGTGGGAAGAACAGATGCAGCTAGTATTTCTGGAGCATTTATTGTGTGCCAAATGCCATGTTAAGGACTCTACGTCCAACATGAAAAGTAACTTCTGGATGGAAATTATAATTAGCTTCTCTATTTTACAGATGAGGAAACTAGAGCTAAGTGAAGTGATTAATCTAAGTCCCCACAATCAGTAAAGCCTGACCACAGATTGCAGACGAATTAAGCATAGGGATCAGGAAACAGAACAAAAGGTATGAAATCCTACATGTTAAAAAGAGAAAAAGTAAAGGAACGTAACAGAATTAGAAGTCAAAGGAGAGTGCAAAGAAGAGTCTGGGAATTACTAAAAAGCCTCAAATACTGAATTCTGGAGCTTACGTGTACAGCCACCGTCCTGGTAGGCGTGGAAGCCGCGTGCACACCTGTCGCACTTCTCCCCAGCTACGCCTGGGACGCAGTGACACCGGCCTTCCTCGGTGCAGTCATCCGACAAGGAGCCTGACGTGCTGCAGTTACAGGGCAGGCACCCAGGCCCCGCGTCCAGCCCGTAATAGCCAGGCTGTTGCAGAGGAGGACCCGGAGCGTGGGAGTCAAAGTACATTTGAGTTAGCTACTGATACTTACAAGCATGTTTCCCAAATCAAACATCGGATGTTTCATAGAATCACACAGTGGTTATGACATCACTGCAGTTCTTTGTAAACCGAATACAGACTCTGTAGGTCAGGACACCCAGCATTCACCAGCCGTGTTTGGGGCAGTAGCTCTTTCTGGCAGTCATGAAGTGCATTTCATTCGAGCCGAGGTCAAGGTATCAATTATAGACATCACCAAAACACTTTCATGTCTGCAACGGCCACAGGTGTCTTACCAAGCACTGGTCACACTGCTGTCCAGTCACATGGGGTTTGCAGTCACAGAGTCCGGTCTCAAGATGGCAGACATCAGAGAGGGAGCCTTTTCCATGGCACTCACAGGCTAACACACACACAAGAGACATATTTGTGCCCATTTCTGGGTATGGTTGTAGTAAGATCCCTTAATCCCCAAAGGAAAAATTTTAAACATTCATGTTTCAAATCATAAAACTAAAAGAAGAAATTACTTCGCAATAACTTTTACGGGGTTGGCGGAAGGAGCCATCACACAGAAAAACCAATGAAGCTATTAAGATAAGAATTAGCAAACAATCTTAACCAACTGCATGAATTCCTTGAAATCATAAAAATGAGCCACCAATGTTTATCAACAAATCTTCATAAAAAACATGCAATGGAGATTTAAAAATCAATTTAGCTATCAGTTCTTATTCTGATCTTATATGTATTTAATATTTTAAAGCTCAGTTATAACAATCTAGATAGGTAATATTACATTTCATAGTTTAATGTAAAACATTTCCCTGTTCTAAGTCGCGAGTCCCTGTAGTTCCAGTATACTTACCTTCAGGTCAAACATTTCAGTTTTATCTACAGTCATAAGACTGATGTTCAAAACTACAAAGTCCCCACCTTTGCGAAGTGATACAATTTAATGGCTCCTGAAATGTTTAATTGATACTTATAGCACAGCTGTCAATATGCACTTCATTGAAAATATCTAATAAGCTCTTGACCAAATACCCCAGAAATGTGCACTGTCTTTGAATGCTTGGACTCAGGAAATGTGCACTCTGTCATACGCGATAATGATTTAAGAAAAGGAAAACTCCACAAATTCTCTCAAGCCAAGCACACTTTGTGTGGCAGGATTGGCAGGGGAGGCCAGAGCCGTGGTAGATGCTGGAAGGCTGAGGATCAGAGGAAAGGCATTGGAATTCTGTCTCCATAATGGACTGTGGCCAAGACACCTGTGGATATGTTCCCCGGTATAAGTGGGCCATCTAGGACTCCCCCCGTGGGAGGCTGGGGAAGTGCTAGGGGCCCCACGCACCGCCGCCGGTTCCTGTGGCTTACTTTTGAACACTCAACTCACTTTTGTATTAAACATGCCTCCTGGGGGGCCTTGCTGACCCTGGACAGACTGCCCTTCCCAAGGCCAGTTTCCAGAGCGAGTGAAGAGCTGGCCTGCCAGAACGCCTTTCATACGCAAACAACCCCATCCAGAGCCCACGCCCATAAAGGCCTCCTTGCGGGGCTCTCTCCTTCATTTGGGCTTCACTTCCACTATCCCTCTGACCTCTCACCCCAGGGCCATGCATCAGATGATTAGGGACAGCTGCCCTGCCCCAGAGCCTGCTGAAGTTATTCAAAGTAGCCAATCCTAACCCTGCTTACCCTGCCTTGCCCTTTCCTTCCTGAGGAAACCACAACAAAGGCTCTAGCGCACATTTCCCCTCCTGACCAACCTGGGTGCTTCCCGAATACCCTCTCCTATGCCTTGGTGTGTCCCCTCCTCCTGGCCACTGCTGGCCTTGCCATACCTAAATAATGAAACCTGTATTTTCAAACACTCCTCAGCATCCAACTATTCTCCGTTGTCTCCTGTAGAAAACGTCACACACACACACACACACACATTTACTCACGTGTGCACGTGCGCACACACACACACAACTTAACTATCTGAGGTCCCATCTCCCTGTCGCCCTCCCTTCCCATTCAACTTGCCCCTCCTGCCTTTTGGCTGCTGAATCTGCTCCTCCTGAAAAGTCTCCCAGGACTTCCCAGGAGCAAATTCAAAGAGCACATTCTGGGTCTTCATCTTGCTGTGAGATGGGCCCCATGGCCACTCCCTCCCTTTTGAACCTCACTCTCACTGAGGTGAGGGACAACCTCTGATTTCCTCCCTCCTTCTTGTCTCTCTCCCTCCGGCGCCCCCCCACCCCAACCACGTGTCTCATTCAAAGCTTCCCTGGCCTTCGGGGAAAAGTCAACGATCACCATATGATCACCACAAAATATAGACGACAGTAAACTGTATTTATTGTACGATCCGTTTGTGCCTGGGTCACTTTCCAGTATATTTCATTGAAGCTTCATTACAAACTGACATGGGAAGCACTATAACTTTCTCTCTTTTCCACTGTGAAATCTAAAATTTAGAGAGATTATGTCATTTGCCACAGGTCACATAGCTATTTGTAGTCGTCTTTCCATGGTAACAGTTCTAATAGTAATTATTACTAAAAAATGGTTTGCTGTAGGGGTGCCCGGGTAGCTCAGTCAGTTAGACATCTGCCTTCAGCTCAGGTCATGATCCCAGGGTCCTGGGATGGAGTCCCGCATCGGGCTCCCTGCTCGGTGGGGAGCCTGCTTCTCCCTCTTGTATTGCAGGGTGCCCGGGTAGCTCAGTCAGTTAGACATCTGCCTTCAGCTCAGGTCATGATCCCAGGGTCCTGGGATGGAGTCCCGCATCGGGCTCCCTGCTCGCAGGAAGCCTGCTTCTCCCTCTGCCTCTGCCCCTCCCCCCCCAACTCATGCTCTCTCTCTCTCTCTCCCAAATAAATAAAATCTTTAAAAAAATTGCTTGTGTCAATAATATTAATTTAAAATAGTTTCCAGTAACTACTAGGTGATTTACATATATTTTAGTTCTCATGTGAACCCCACAATATAAAAATTATAACCACTTAACATTTCATATAAGGTTCCTTTAATAGTAGAGCTTGGTGGGGTTCCTACAGCCTCTCCCTCCCTGGTTGCTCCCTTGCTGCCCTGGACAACCCATTCCACACGCACCAAACCCACTAGCACATCAATGCTGATGATTCTCCAGACCCCATTTCTTCCCTGATTCCTGCACGCCTGAATATCCAAATGCCTCCCCAACAAACCCCTAGGAATTCCCATGTCAGCAGTATTGAATACTGACACTTTCACTGGGGTTAACCTAGTAAAATATAATAGTATATTCGCACATGGGGCCTCTGGAAAGTCCATAAGAGGGATCCTATTATAGGCCTGGGAGGATTTCTAGTGAAATATCCAGAAATGACAAGAATTCATCTCATCAAAGCTGGGGGACAGGAAAGAGGAAATGAGAAAAGAATAAAACTTGTAAATGTTTGGAGACTAGAAAGAGCCCAGACAGTGTCAGTCTATAATGAGTCCAGCTGCCTGGGCCACCAACCTGGACCCAGACCCCAATCCTGCCTGTCCTGACCCCACCCCCTCTACCCTCCAGTCAACACAGAGATTTTCTAGTTTCTTTCTTTCTTTTTTTTTTTTTTAAGATTTATTTATTAGAGAGAGAGAGAGGTGGGGAGGAACAGAGGGAGAGGGAGAGAGAGAATCTCAAGCAGGTTTCCTATTGAGTACAGAGCCCGACACGGGGCTCGATGCCAGGCTCAACTCGGGGCTCAATGCGGGGCTCAATCGCACAACCCTGAGATCATGACCTGAGCTGAAATCAAGAGCTGGATGCTCAACTGACTGAGCCACCCAGGCGTCCCAAGAGTTTCTAGTTTCTATCTCTCTTCACCTTTACCCCCATGACAAAGGCTCTACTGGAAGCCCTCATTAACTTTTCCAGCAAGTTTCTTTTCTGGGCTTTTCTCTCCTCTTGTCCACTCTGTCCACCGCAGCGGTTCCAGACTGACTGTTCAACAGAGATCTGGTCAGACCCCGTCCCTGTTCAAGTGACCTGGAGTCGGGGACAGACGGCACAACCTCCACAGGCCAGCGCTGTCCACACCCATCAGCCATGGCTCCTGCCCTGGCCTGACCCTGCCTTTCACTTTCTAGCACCTTCTTTCCAGACTCTGCACCTCAGGCCTGGACGACACTTTCCCACCACTTATCAGCCCACCAGGCATCTCCTACCCATCCGTGAAGACTCACATCAAGTGCCATTTCCTCCAGAGGCAGCCCCACACCATCCTGGACCTTTATGGAGCTTTGTGCAAACCCCAGGGATGGTCATTCGTCGCCCTGCAGAGCTGCCTGTCCTATCAGACCGACACTGCGCACACGGGTCTCCTGACCCCTGCAGATGTGGCTGATGCAACAGATAAACACAATCTCTAATGTCACTTAACTTCAGCCAACAACTCAGACCCAGACCCAAATCCTGTCTGTTCTGACCCTCCTCCCCACCTCTGTTCATCACCAAGATCTACTTTCTACACAAAATACTGAAGCAGTTTTGTCAATGTAGATGCAGATATAAAGGAAAATGATTTTTTTGGTCATGATGAAAAACTTAAATACATTTGAACAACTTGGATATGTAAATTTCCTTTTGCAACTATGAATTTTATGAAATCTAAATACAGATCAAGTGTTTCTTATGAAAATTTAGCATCCTAATTGAAATAGGCTATAAAACATGCACTGATTTTTTTTCTTTTTTTTTTTATTAACATAGAATGTATTATTTGTCTCAGGGGTACCGGTCTGTGGTTCATCAGCCTTACACAATTCACAGCGCTCACCATAGCACATACCCTCCCCAATGTCCATCACCCAGCCACCCCATCCCTCCCACCTCCCTCCACTCCAGCAACCCTCAGTTTGTTTCCTGAGATTAAGAGTCTCTAATGGTTTGTTTCCCTTTCCGGTTTTGTCTTGTTTCATTTTTCCCTCCCTTCCCCTACAATCATCTCTCTTGTTTCTCAAATTCCTCATATCAACATGCACTGAATTTTGAAGACTAAACATTAAAAAGGAAAGCAAATATCTCATTAATACTTTAAAGATTTGGGCGCCTGGGTGGCTCAGTTGGTTAAGCGACTGCCTTCGGCTCAGGTCATGATCCTGGAGTCCCGGGATCAAGTCCCGCATCGGGCTCCCTGCTCGGCAGGGAGTCTGCTTCTCCCTCTGACCCTCCCCCCTCTCATGCTCTATCTCATTCTCTCTCTCAAATAAATAAATAAAATTAAAAAAAAATACTTTAAAGATTTGATTACGTGACAAAATGATATTGCTTTTATAACTGGGTAAAATAAGATGTATTACTGCAATACATTTCATCTCTGTCATTTTATTTATGGGTGACTAGAAAATTTAAAATTACATGTGTTATTTACATTTCTACTGGACAGCATTAATATAGAAAAATAATAAAAAGCACTGTTTTTAAAATAGCTATCATTTATTTCATTTCCAGAACTTTAAGTTTTTATCCCAATTACTTCTCACAAAGGCCTTAATATATATATAAATGTGTGTGTGTATACATAATATATATATGTATATATAAAACTATGTCCATTTTATGTATGAGGAAATAGTGGCTCAGAGAGGTTAATAAATTTGCCTAATGTCACACAGTTGGTTGTGACCAACCCTCAGCTCTAACCCACATTAGTCAGACTCCAAAGCCTGAGATCCACATGTGTGCTTTGCCTCCACACCATCACATGTAGCTCCCCAGTAGACCTGGGCCAAAATTTTTCCAACTCCTCTGATGATACTTAGGACAGTACTTGGGAAGTAACAAATGGTTAATAGACGACCAATGAACGAAGTGATGAATCATCAAGGTTGCAGGAAAGACGAAAAGGAATGACATGAGTATAGTGAAAGCATTCTGTAGACTTTGAAGCTTTACACAAATACCAGTTATCATAATTATCCTCCTATGATAACCAATCAAGGTGGCTGTGCTGCCAAGATCAAGTTGACTGGCCCAAGGCTACAAAGCCTTTTCCCTCTCTGGAAGTGTGCCTGGGAAAATAACTTTCCTGTATCGCTAGCACCCTCTTGTGTCGCCATGTTGTAATAGCATAGCAGGACTTCGCATTTATAGGAAATTATTAAAATAATGTAAAATTGCCATTTTTACTCTTTCACACCTTCAAGAGCTGTGCATAAAAATCTGAGGGCTGTATCAGCCCTGAGGCTACAAGTTTGTCATCTCAGGTATAGGAAAGCCTGCTTTCTTTAGCGAGTGGTTCTAAGTGATCCATAATGTCAGGAAGGAAGGAAGCAGAGCTCTGGAGCAACATGAGTCAGTAGTTCAGGAACAGATTGTGAGACTCCAGGGATAGAGCCTTCCCATTTCCCACCCCATATCTTGAAATCCCATCTGACTCGTGAGACCCCTGAGCCCATCCCTCATTAACACTGCAGGCTCTGACCCCAGACTGCCTTCGCCCGGTCCCATCAAGCACCACTTCCTCCACCAGTGGAAGGGCACCTAAATTTTCCAGGCCACCTGACCTGCTCTGTAGGTAGTGGATCAAGCTAAGGCAGGGCACACCGGGAAGAGTGAGGTCTTGGGTCTAAACTGGTATTAACACAAGCGCCGACCGAGATAAAGTTACCCCATAGGCTGAGCCCTTTCTGACACATGTAAGTAGATGGAGACTTCACATGGCCATGAGTAAGGGCCCTGACTTCACAGCCCCCACACTCACCGCGGCAATTTTTGGCAGTCACGGCGTCCCCGTAGAAGCCGTCAGCACACCTCTCGCAGTGGGCACCGTCCGTGTTCCCAATGCATTTCAGGCACTCTCCAGTGACGGAGTCACAGTGACCCTCCTCAAAGGGGTCCACGTTGCCACTGCAGTTGCAGGGAACACAGGATTCCCCGGGCACTGTTGGGTTTCCATAGTAACCGTCTGCGCATCTGCACAAAAGATTGTAAAGGGGACCCAAATGAATGCACTTCCTCTAGACACTACCCCCACCATCCAGGGATTCTCTGAATGGTTAATAAAGCAGACGGACTCTTTTTCCATAAGATTTATTGGGAAGCAATGCAACACCAAGTTCAGACATTCAGATTTCCTTCACTCATTGTGAAGACAGAGAATGTATCCCGAATGAGCCATAAATCCCAGTGGATGTGCCCTCAGCTCCAGGCCAACTGGACCTGCATGCTGTGGGTGTGACGTGGCTCCCCCAGGGACTTCCGCCAGAGCTGGGCACTGAGACTTAACACCTGGGAAAAGACAGTGTTGGCTTTCGGGTGCCAGAAGACAGCTATTAAATCAAACCACTCTGGAACTATCCAGATAGTGGGATATTTCAGTGTGGGAACGGTACACACTGGCTCCTCGCTGTTTTCTATTGTCATCGATGAGAACTCACATGAGCTCGAGGAGCTGAAATGCTGTTCTTGAAAAATTCCCCGGCTTTTTAATCGGCATACTGGTTTTTCTCTATAATTATGGGAAATAATCATTACACACCAAAACGCTAAAATCATACTTACCTATACATTTGAAACAAAACACATATCATTGATATTTAATTAAAAAAGAAAGTTTGATGCAACTTTTGGAAATCAGTTGAGTGATGCAGACAGAGTACCTCTCGCACCAAGCTCCTGAGTATCCCGGGGCGCACTGGTCACAGACCACTTCATCCCCATCCTCTAGGTGGCAAGTGGGGCTGAAACTGTCAAAACATTATAAATGAACACAATTTTCCAATGAGTGGTGCAGAATTTCTAAACATTTAAAATCCTTGTCTTTTACCACTCCTCACAAACTTTCAACGGTTCTTCACTCCAGAAGCCCGGCCCCTGACCATGCAGCCCACCTCATGAGCCTCTCTCCTGGGCACTGGACGCTCCCTGCTCCTGCCTGTCCCTCAGCCCAGAGGCCGCTTCGTCCCCTCTCTGCCTGGGTTCACCTTGTCCCCCGTGCCCAACTCAGCCACCATCTCCTCCAGGAGGCCTTCTCCGATGCTCTTCCTGGTCAAGCCGAGCTCCCGTCTCTGGGTTCCCTGGCGCTGGTCTGCCTGCCTCAGAGCCCCACAGTGGCCAAGAGTGAGCTCTAGCTTACATGTGACAGCCCATCAACATTCCCCAAAGGACCCCCACTGCTCACTGAGGTCCCCTCAACCTCTATTCCTGGGTCTAGGGGGGCTGTGAAGGGAGGTATGGGGGCAACAGGGGGGCCCCTATGATTACATCAGAGTAGCGCTGGTTGTGTCTGTTTTACACAGTGGAGTTTCAAATGAAAATCCCCATGGGGGAGTTCTCTGGGCTGGAGGGAGGAAGAGTCCTAAAGTGTAGGTCAGTGAGAGAGAAATAGGTTTTCAAATCCGGGCCTGCAGGACGCACAGGCCCCAGCAGAGCGAATGAGGCCTTGTGCATCACTGGTTCCTCCCACCCCACTCCTGCCTTGTGCTCAAGGACCATCTGCGATTTCACAAACAGGATCTGCTCTTTGATGCTGCCATAACTTGGCACACTCAGTTCCTTCTGCCCAGAACACCCTTCTCTGTGGCCTTCATCCTTCAAGCCTCAGATCAGGGCCTTCCTCAGAGTCGCTCCAGGCAGAGTCCTACTCTCCTGACAGTGGACATACCTCCACTAGAGTCATGACCACACGGTGGGTCCCATGGGACCAGCAGCCATGGATGAACACTCTGATACACGAGCTCCTACCATGATACTCAGTGTGTAGGAGGCACTCCATAAATACTGGTTGAATCATGAAATGAATTCAGCCCATTTTCAATGAGCCTCATATTTACAACAACTCCTTAAGGCCAGGAACAAAGTTTTATTCATTCCTGTGTACTCTATACCTCCTAGCCTACTGGCAGGCACACCAGATATACACTGAAAGAATTAAGGAGCAACATTAGACCAAGAGGAACCAAAGCATGCACATTTTCTCGCCATCACATGCCTTTCTTATATAATTTAATACACCGAACTTGTTCTTTTTAAAAAGAGAGAATTCACCCCTCCATCTTTACCACTGGGTAAGCACACTATCTTCACACACGAGGTCTGGCCACACTAGGCTGGCTCCACAGGTGGGAGTGCCGTGCTTACTTGTTGGAGGCTGTGGAGAGGGGGCAGGCACACGGCTGGCAGTCCTCCGGGGTCCCTCGGGAAGGCAGCCCGTAGAAGCCAGGCGCGCACTGCTCACAGTGGTCCCCGGTGGTGTTATGCTCGCAAGCCTAGAACACATGCATGGATGAGACTCAGTTCAGGCTTCCTTAAATGATTCTCTGATTCATCAAAAAGTAACTTGAAGTCAGGGTGGGAAAAAAAATGCTCAAAAAAGTCACCAAACTCTCTTACATGAGGAGGGGTTGCCTGCTCCCAGATAAATACAAAATTTTAATTTGTACAATCTGTATACATGGGAAGCTTTCACTCTGCCCATGTCAGAGTAGCTGCTACCAGACTTGCCCTTCTGTAGTAAAGAACTAGAAAACGGGAACAAAACATATTGAACAACTTCTTTCAGACGCTAGACAACAAAGGTGAGAGAAGGGAGGTGACAGGATGACTTGGAATCACACGTCTTTTTCCTGGAGACACTTGCTAAGCAGGTGGGGGAGGGGGGAGACCCAAGCAGAATGTGGGGGGTCTTGTTGAGTTGAGGAGACAGAGGTCTGAGTTTGGGGAGACTGGAACTGCAGGAATTTGGGCAGAGAATCGGAGCTTCACAGAATAAGAACTCCAGAAATCTGCACAGGAGACCCCTTCAAATAGCTACTGAATACAAGCTTCTCATGTATAGAGTGCATTTCCATGCAGCCAGCCGAAAAATTAAGAACTCACGCAGAGGCCAGGGACACTAGAATTGTAACCAGCCAGTGTGGGGAGTCTCTGTTAAACGCCCAGAGCACCCAGTAGAGACCCCAGAAGAAAAACTCTTTCTCAGTAGGGCTAAGCCTGCCCTAGAGTAGAGGTTATACTAGACCCACCCTAACAAAACTTAAAAACAAACCTTGAAACAATCCAGCTGACCTATGATAATTTAACCACTTGCCAAAACAAACTCTGATGGTTTTTGTTACTTAACAAAATCCAGAGACTTAACAGTGAACAATATTCATCATGCAATCGGAAACCACTGAGTATGCTTCCGCTAGTCACATCTGGGAGAATTTGGAATCCATGAGTCCAGGCAGATAACAAGTAGGTAAATAAATAAACATAAGAAAGGAGGGTTCTTGCTTACAGTAGAATGCTGTGTACCAAAAGAGAAGCATGGAGAACATCATATAAGTGTTGGTGGGGCAAGAATCATCAGAGACTGCTAAATCTAAGGGGGAATTTTGATGATGAATATGATACTTGCATGGTCTTAAAGTGTCTCTGTCACACTGCTTATTAATTGCAAAATAAAAGAACAGTAAATATATAGTAATTGACCAACAGCTGGCGTGTGTAATAATCAGAATTCACACCACCAGCAAGGGGCAGTGGACATTGTGGGCTTCCACGTGTGGTTCTCTGAGAAGGCCACAGCATCACTAATGAAGTGTTCTGGCCTGAAAGGTATAACCTGAACCAATTCATGAAAAAACAAGAGAAGGACTGCCAAATAAGGGGCATTTTATTTTTTGAAAAATGATCGTGTTCTTCAAGGTGCATTATAAAAGACAAAGAAATGCTGTAGAATGCTGTACTTCAGATTAAAGAAGACTAGAGAGACATGACAATAAAATGCAATACCTAAACTAGATGGGGCCTGTCATGGTGGGAAAAATGCTATAAAGGACATAATGGAGTCAACTGGCCAAATGGAAAAATGGATGGTAGATTAGAAAAAGTAAGATAGGGCACCTGGGTGGCTCAGATGGTTAAGCGTCTGCCTTCGGCTCAGGTCATGATCCCAGGGTCCTGGGATTGAGCCCCGCATCGGGCTCCCTGCTTGGCGGGAAGCCTGCTTCTCCCTCTCCCTCTGCCTCTCCCCTGCTCATGCTCTCTCTCTCTCTCTCTCTCTCTCTCTGTATCTCCCTGTCTCAAATGAATAAATAAAAAATCTTTAAAAAAAAAAAAAGAAAAGAAAAAGTAGGATACCAAAGTTATATTTATTGAAGTTGATAATGTACTGTGGTTATATAAGAGAAAATCCTTATTCTCAGGACATACACACTGAAGTATTTAGGGATAAATGAGCATAGTGTACGCAACTTATTCTCAAGTGGTTTAGAAAAAAATATTATGATTCGATAAACAGATAATGAGAATAATACAGCAAATGGGGAAAATGTTAACAACAAGGTGAATCTGGGTAAAAGGTGGGTGCCCTAAGTACTATTTTTCTTCCTACAACTTTTGCATACATTTTAAGATGATATCCAAATAAGGGTTTTGTTCTTTTTTTTTTTTAAAGGCAGGATAATAACTACTAGATCTGAGAAGAAGCAAACAAACAAAAAGCAAATGTGATTCATAAGGAGAAAAATCTAAAAAGTAGGCAGAGGAAAAAAAAAAGACAACCCAGAGAATTACATGTATAAGAATGACTAATGACTTTTCACTTGAAACAATGCAAGCCATATGCAAACAACAATTTTCAAGTCCTGAAAAAAAAATCTGCAAAAATCTATTTCCAACTCAAAGATGAAAGAAAGCCTTTTTCAGGTCAAGAAAAGGTGAGAGAATTTGTCGGCTGTCAGACCTGCACCAAACAAATGCTAAAAACAGTTCTTTGGAAGGTAGAAACATGGAACCAGATGAAATCTTGGATTTATACCAAGGATTGAAGAGTATCAGAAACGATAAATACAGGGAAAATATGAAAGACTTATTTCCTTCTTGAAAACATGTCTTTAAGAAAGCAGAATGACGCCACATCAGGCGTATAGGAGGTATGCAGGAGAAACGAGACGGGCAGAGCAGGCCCCGAAGGAAGCGACGTCGAGCATGAGGGCAGCTGCAGAGCTCAAGGGAAAGCTGAGCCTGTTCTCCATATTCTTTCCCAAGTTCCGCTCTGCCCGTGACTTGGTCTCCCCAGGTCCTCCCATGACCCCCACCCCCATGCTGATGTCACCCAGAATTTTTTCCTGTGATCTCTACCCACCCCTGCCTGTACTCACTTGCCCCAGCTCCCACCTGTGGGTCCACCTTGCCACCCACTTCCCTTTACCCCCTTTTCTGAGAGCCACTCATTTTATAGACCTTGTTGGCCATTTTTCATTCAACAGTTTAAATAATATTTCCAGTTTCAAAACTTGAATACTTTTCTACCATTCCTGAGGTTGATAAAAGTTTTCCCATAGGTTAAATTTAATTTGGGACTATAAATATTTGTATTACATCCTTTTAAACAGGTTTTCACCATTTTTTTTTAAGATTTACTTATTTTAGGGAGAGAGAGTGAGAGCATGAGTGGGAGGGGCAGAGGGAGAGGGAGAGAGAATCACAAGCAGATTCCATGCTGAGTGCAGAGTCTGACGATGTGGGGCTTGATCCCAGGACCCTGAGATCACCACCTGAGCTAAAACCAAGAGTCAGAGGCTTAACCGAGGGCACCACCCAAGTGCCCCAGGCTTTCACCAGTTTTATGTAGTTATCCTAGACCAGGGCTTCTAAACTTGAATTGTTTACAAATCACCTGGGTTCAATGTCAATTCTGATTCAGGAGGTCTGACATAGGGCCTGAGTTCTGCATTTCTAAAAAACTCCAGGGTGATGCACAGACTGCTGGTCCTCAGGTGACATTTTGGTAGGAATGTCTTAGACTCTTTTTTTCCTCCCCATCCCCTATGTGACCTTGATTTTGATGATTAACCCAAATTAATTTAAAATGCAGCTGGCTTTGGTAAATGGCTACATGGTTGAGCTAAAAGTATTATGCAAAATAACTAGTTTCATTAAAATACATTTAATTATGTCCACTTGCAAAATATCTATGATAGGATTTCTTTGCTCAAAGGGCCAGACAGGGTTTTCTTTCTCTTTGGGAAAGCCATTACGTAGTTCTGCTAAAAAAAACCTACCAAATCTGTTTTGACGCTTTTTCAGGTCACCATCCCTTTAAGGGACCAGCCCTGTTGGTGGAGCTGGAATCTGAGGGAGGAGAAATGCTCATCTCCTCAGGAAGGAAAAACATCTTCTCTTGAATGGAAGAGAAAAAAACATGAGGGCCCAAGATACGCAACTGCCTTTTAGGCTCTTCTCTTTCAGAAGAGAGCAAACTGGTTTCTCCTTGGGAGGACAGCAGAAAGAGCTGGGAGAACAGGAGCTAATGTAAATCGTGGACATTGGGGGGGCTATGATGTGTCAATGTGGGTTCATCAACTGCACCAATGTGTCCCTCTGGCGGGGGGAGGGGGCTGTTGATAATATGGGAGGCTGTGTGTGCGTGGGGGCAGGAGGTATATGAGAAATCCCTACACCTTCCTTTCAGTTTTGCTGTAAACCTAAAACCACGCTTTAAAAAAAAAAAAAAAAAGATAGGGCACTAAGAACAATTGGAACCTTCTCTCTGATAACCTGTAAATCAGGAGTTGACTCTGGGAAACTGGATGGCTACATGCAAGGCCCAGGGCTAGAAATGGCTATCCAAAGGGGAGAATTCAAAGGTTTCTTTGTAAAATAGAATAGAAAAAAAAAAAAAAAAAAGCAAAGTTAGATGAAACAGATAAATGATGCTACCAAGTTTTTATGTTTCTTTAAAGTCCAATCTAAATTTTTATTATTTTTGCCCCTTCAAACATGAATGACTTAAAAAGGTAAAAATAATAACTTGACAGTGCAAAAGGCTGGCAGACAGCACCTCATCTGAGTGTTCCGGGCTAACATCCCCTAACAGTGTGCGCCGAGGGGGCACGTCACCTTCATGTCTTCCTGCCTAAAATGCAAAACCTCTAGCTAATCACGAGAAAACAGACACACTCTAGTGGAGGACATTCCAGAGAATGTCCAGGGCTCCTCAAAAGCGCCACAGTCATGAAAGACAAGGGAAAACTGAGGCGCTGTCACAGAATGAAGGCGACAACTGCAAAGTGGTTCTGGATTTGAGGCTGGAAAGGGGACATGAGTGGGAAATCTGATGAAATCTGAGTGAAATCCACAGTTCTGTTGATGAGATTGTGCCCACGTGAATTTCTTAATTTTGATCACTGTACTCTGGTAAGGCAAGATGCGAGCACCAGGGAAAGCAGGGTGAAGACTGAACAGGATCTTGCCGTGCTATTTTTGCAGCCTTATTGTAAATCTAACATTATTTCCCCAAATTTTTCAATTATAAAAATTATCACTTATTATAATTAGAACTTAAGGGCTGGTTGCTACTTAGCATTTTCACTTTAGTGTGAGTATATATTTTTGTAAAGATATAGTAATAGAAGCATGTGCCAATACCCTTTTGGCTTACCTGTACCTAAAGCCATGGGTGCCACAATCACAGCCTGCTGACACCCCCAACTGTTGGCAGCCACCCTAGAAGGCTGGCCTTACAAACCCAAATGGAAAGGCAGAGGCGTTTAAAAAAAGCAACAACCTCATCAAGCTCTGGGAAACTGATCCTGAGGGATTGAGTGTGTGTGTAAAACATCACTTCATGTAATTCCTATAGACACTTGCTTTCCAGAACGATGAAATGAACAAAGAACAAAATGAAAGCTTTACTTACAGAATCAAGAAAAACTAAGCTCTAGAAAGATTAAACAATCCATGGCATCATGTTGAGATCTTCTCCATGGCTCTGATAATTAATTTTCCCTAGCCTTGGGACTGAATCAATCTCTTTTGGAAAGAGCATGAACATTCCCCTGTATGGTGAATAGGACTCAGCTGATTAATATAGGCATTCACTCCATCTCTGTGCAGTAAATCCATTAGAACCCAGGAGTATGGCCTGGCTTCCAGGCAAAAAGAGCCTAAAAGAATTCCTGATTGAAGTTAAAAAACAAGTCTTGCCCTGTATCTGCCCCAAAGTTCATTCTCAAGATTAACTGCATATTTGTCAAGCCATGTTTCAACTCCTGTTGCATGAAAGAAGTACTTGTTTGAAGAGTTTACCCGAGCTAAGAACTATAAAGCATTATATATTGCACAAACGAGTGTGATTATTAGAAGTTTTATTATTCCTTTTAGGACATATTGTGTAATATGTTAAAGGAATTCTAACACTTTCATTTAAAAGCCCTGATCCTTTTTAATCAGTGGGCAATATTTTCTACCTTTATATGGCTTTCTAATCTTACGAAGTGAATTCGTTGTTCTAATAAAAAACCTGCAATGACATTATATATCCCTTTTCCATTTTCACCAAAATAACTTTTTTTCAAAAAAGAGCGGAGGAAAAAGCAGGAAACATATTATGATATGAACTTAAGTCTGCGAATTTCCTCTGGGGTCTACAAGGGCCGGGATAATCTCCTATGGAGGAAGCACTTTTTTTAACCACTCTGCGCAGCAGATGGCTTTGGGATAGGTAGGAGGGGGCACTCGAGTTCTTGGCAACAGACTCACAAAGCAAACGCCATGAATATCACATTCAGCTGCATGGCCGTGGCATTCACAGGGTTGACAAATTCCTCCAAAGAGTATTCCATCCACGCGGTAATAGCCAGGGAGGCAGGACTGCAAGAGAGGGACAGGTGACACACGCGGGGGAAGGCAACCTTGTACATCATGCAAATCATCTTCTTGTCAATAGGTTAGGAACATCAAGCGCTCCAATTTCCATAAGTAGAGAAACATACTTCTTTTTCCCCCCCAAACTTCTTTATTGAGGTATCATTCACATGTCATAAAATGCACCCATTTTAAGGATACAGTTCACTGATTTTTTAGTAAACTTACCGAATTGTGCAACATCGCCATAATCCAGTTCCTCATTTTTTTTTAAAGATTTATTTGAGAGAGAGAGCATGCACAAGCAGGGGGAGGGGCAGAAGGAGAGGGAAAGAATCCCAAGCAGACGCCCTGCTGAGCTTGGAGACCTAAATGGGGCTTGATCTCATGACCTGAGCCGAAATCAAAAGTCAGATACCCAACTGACTGAGCCACCCAGGCCCCCTTCCTCATTTCTTTTTATAGGTAGAAACACGCACACCAAAACCTAGTGGCGATACAATGGGTCAGCATCCACCTTCACGGTACCTGCCGCAATATTATTAGAAATCATGTAACACTCAGCCACTTAACCAGTGTTTCAATCAAGAGGACATTTTCCTCTCAACCTGATTTTGTTTTCTTTTGGGTAAGAGTCACTAAATACTACCATCAAAGTGCTCAAGGGTAGGTCTGTATCAAACTGCATCAGGTGAATTGAGCAAACATTATAGGCGTGCTTTCGTGGTATTCATGGATGCTGTCCCCTGCCTGGGAGGAGCAGGGGGCCATCCCAGACAGTCATTCATGTCATTCTCAAGATGACCCTGAGAACCATTCTCTCTATTTTATAGACATGGAATATGGAACATGGAGCAGTTAGACCCCGTGCCCACTGTGCCAATGGAAAGATTCAAAGTCGGGGAGACACACCTCCCAGACCTGTGGCCACGGGGCTCCTTGGGGCTGCACCAGACATAAAACGTGTTTCGAGTGCAGACTGGTGAGTGATTATTTGGGAGGCCAGCATACTCCCATGGGGCCATGGGAGGAGAGGCGTGGATCTGGTTTTTACTCTTGTAAAAAATTTTAAAATTGCATTTTCATTATTTGAGTAATATATACATGCATTCATTCACACTGACCTTGTGAAAGTCCCCTTAACACCTCCATGCACCACGTTCCCGTCAAGGACAATGGGCCAGTCTACAGATGGGCACTGAGGGGGAGCTGCCTGGGGGTCTGTGTGGTGGCCACAGGGCTCTCAAGAATTCCAGTCCCCACCTATAGCTGCCTGATTCCTTACGTCAGCTCCTAATGAAAGAATGAGTTCTTCTGGCTGATAAAAACACTTAAAATTATGTGTTAAGCTTCGTGTGCTTCCTTGAGCGATCATCCCCTGCACATCAGCGCATTTTCCTCTGAACCCAGTGGACCAGGAGTCCTCCAGCAGCACCTGCTCACTGCTGCCTCCTCCTGGTCTAGCTAGCCTGGGCTTCTACTTTATCTGCCAGCCAGCCCACTCCCACATCCCACATACTATGAGGTAGCCTTAAGGTCATTTATCCGGTAAGCACACAGGACTTAGATCCTACAGATACTTCCTTGGCCTAAAAATACATGTCTTAGATCTAAAAAAAAAAGTTCATGGGGTCATAAAAGAAACAACCCTGTAAAATATTTAAAATAGAAATAGAAATATTTAATTAAAAGTCTACATCATGAAGCACAGGCCAACTTTATTAACTGCAAAGTGTACAACTGATAAAGATTCGTAAAAACAAATCATAAGTTAATGGCCCAAAACTCACAGTCAATGACAAGCCAGTCTTAAACACGGGAGAGGTAGGACCGTGTGGTGGTTAATGGTGCACGTGATGCTTGGAACCTGATATAACTACTTCCTAGCTCTTTCCTACAGAAAGAGGTTAGGATCGTGCCAAATAACATAGAAAGTCCTCAGCAGGAGAGAGTTATTATCAATATTCATGTCCAAATAATTTCAAAATATATTTCAGAAAATTTTTTTAGTGACAGATTACTTCTACTGGTGATTGTAAGCACATTCTCACACACTTCATTGTGAAGTAGAGGTCACCCAAGTTAACCTAGCTGGGGGCCATAAAAAGTCTCAAAACGGGCCTGGCTTTCTAGGTGGCACGCTGGTGATTTGTAAATGTCCAGATACAATCAAGTTCAACCCTCCTTAGAAATGCAAACTATGGCATGGGCAGTGCAACTTTCTGGTTGACTAAGGCAAGAGGGTAGACTGAAATCAGGCCACTTCCACGTGTCCCAGGACTCCCCTGGAAGAGGCACCAGATTGCCTTAAACATTGTGACTTCCAATATTCCTAAAGCTGCCCAAAGTCTGAGCCAAATGTTAGGTTTCTAAAGTTAAAATTCAAGTGCGGGTTATTGTATCACCTTTAATGTGCTTTTTGTCTCCTTAGGAAAGAACAAAAGGAGGTAGGAAGGGAAGAAGAGGAGCCTTACCTCACAGGAGAGCCCTCTGTAGCCTTGGGGACATTCGCAGTGCTCCACCTCGGTGGCCAGTGCCAGGTCTATAACGTTAGGGCTGGCTGTATCCAAAGAGACAGAATCCAACCTACCAATAGACAGGAGTCATCCCGTGACTCAGATGCCTACCTGCAAATGACAGCTGACATCTTGATGAAGGTGGATTCTTAAAGTTTTCTTCAAACAAAAAGGTGATGTGACTTTTGTAAGTTACTACAGATTTTCCCACCAATATGATTTCTGAAAGCTGTCAGTATTCTCTGGAAGGCCTTTGCAACATTTGGTGCAAAGAAGAGTAGTCGCCCAGACAGCTGTGGGAAGGGTCTGATGTTGCCCAGTCTGAGTTGAAACACTTCTGAAAAACTAACCCATTTAATCATCCTATCTCAAATACAGAGATTGTTCTTAAATGTAAAATTCTGTGTTTGCTTTAGGCCAACGTGCATGCGTAGCCGTAGCCTGGCATTGCCAGAAATTGACCTTCTGGAAGTAATGACATGACCGAGGATGGGAACATTAGCTTAAATAGACAGGAAAATCTAAGACCATTAACATCAGGAGGGTAAAAACAAGATACAAGGTGGTCCAGACAATTGTGAACTTGTCAGGCATTTCTCAGAAAATCACCCTGAAAGTTTCTGTTCCTGATGTCAAGATGATCTCCTACTGAGGCACACTTGTCATGGACCACTGTTCTTACATCGTCACTAAAATTATAGTAATAAAAATATTTTTTAAGGCAGCCAGTTCCATTAGTTGTACCCTTAAAATAATCAAGGAAAATATATTACACTGAAAATACATCATTATTAATAGATGAAGACGAGATTGAGGACCCTTCCCATGAGCTTTCCCTCTCTTTCAAGACACACCTGTAAAGAGCCATTTTTGCAGAATTGTAGTTGGCTCTAATCAAGAGATGTGTCACGTTGGCAAGGACAGTCATCAGCTGGTCGCGATCTATCTCCCTTTTGTTATTAAAATCTCGAAAGTTCTCCGGCACAAGTCTGACCACGTTCAAGTACTCTTCATGTGGTTGTAATGCCAGGCCCTCAGCCTGGGTGCTTAAAGTGAGTCCATTTCCCTAATATTTAAACCAAGAGGAAATACATTTGTAATTCAACTTCACGATCAAAAAATAAAAGCAAATTTCTCTTCAGCAACGTGGCTTTTCATTTGTGCTTAGGTTCTCAGGGCAAACATGTAATTGTATCTATAACTCTTGGTTCGGAATGATCAGAGGAGAGCTGTTTCCTTGTATTCCCCTCCGAGGGATTCAGAGAATAAATCTAAAGCCTGGGTCCTGTGCTGGGATCTCAGAAGAGAAACAGCATGTATGCGCCCATAGCTTTCCTCAAAGCAATGAATCTGACACCCCTCATCTTTAACTGAAGAGCAAAAGTAGAAAAGTATATAAAGATACCTCTAGCTTTCCACAAAATTGCCATTCCCAAAAATGCTTTATGTCACCCCGATCCCACTTGCCGCAGGCTGGATGGGGGGTGCACATCATTAAAGGTGCTGGGAGAAAGGGACGTCTGGGTGGCTCAGTCAGTTAAATGTCTGCCCTCGGCTCAGGTCATGATCCCAGGGTCCTGGGATCCAATCCCATGTTGGGTTCCCTGCTCAGCAGGGAGCCTGCTTCTCCCTCTCCTTTTGCCCTTCCCTCCACCCTCCACTTGTTCTCTCTCTCTCTCAAATAAATAAGTAAAATCTTTAAAGAAAAATAAAAAATAAAGGTACCAGGAGAGGGGGCAGACACTGCAGACTAGAACCTGAGGTGGTTTCTTACCTTTGGGAAAATTTCCGGCGAGGCTGAGCTGGGTCTTTGAGTGATGGGGGCGGAAGGGAGTGAGGGTACAGTGGCTGAGGACAAAAATGGGAACCCATCTTCCGTCCCCACGCTGCCAAGCACTACTGGCTAAGCATTCATGTGGGTGGCAACGTGGCAGGAGGAGACAGAGGGACTCAAAGGGCTGACAGGGTACTTCCAACGTCAGAGCAAACCTGTCTCCCTTCTCAATGTGAAAAGATGGGTCAGCTTTGGGGATCGAGGGAAGAGCCCCATGTGCTGTCCTGAGACAATTCCAGGAATGGGCCCAAAGAGAATTGTCACCAGTCTTGGTGGTGCCTGGATGAGGCAAAGCCTTGCTGAACGGCCACCTGGCCCTGTGCTCCCCGCTACTATGGCCTCCCTTACCACTTGGAGTCATGAACTGTCCCCCAGAGAAGCCCTTCTGCTCTACAGCAAAGCAATGTGAAAGCAACTACCTTAATGATAACATCAGCGTAAGACATGAGGTCCCCGTCCACCATCTCCACGGGAACATCATAAGACACTGTGTACTTGAGGAAGCCACCAAACGCAGTCAGCTGAAAGAGGTAAGCGAGAGTGAACACGGAGGGCACATGACCACAGCCCCTCTGTAAGAGGAAGTGGTGGCCAGGATCCGTTGGGAAACAACCCGGCTGCAAGGTGTCCGAGTGGCCACGGTACAGAAGGGAGTCCACAGCAAGGCAGTGAAAAGAAAGCATATTATACGAATATGTTGTTTAACCAATATTACCAAAATGCAGGATGTGATTTAAATGTACAGAAGAAAGATGTGCTCCTTCTTAAAGAAAGCCCAAGGTGAACGAGCATCAACTTCTGTGAGTCACATAGGAGACGTGTATTTCACTTAATTTTTTAGGATTTAGGAGTCAGATCCATGATGATAATCCCAACATTCTGATCTCCTTGCACTGCTTGTAGAAGAACAATAAGGAACAGGACTCATCAGTTAAAAGATGGACTAAAGGTTTTTCCTCCTGGTCGTATCCTTTAATACAAAATGGAGATGTTCTTTGTGACAGGTGTGTGACACAATATCAGGTTCAGAATCCAGTCTTTGCACCCGAAAATTAGAAGAGTGATCTTAACAGGAAAAAAAAGATCATTGACCTTTGGTGATTAGACCACATTATAAAGAGAGCACATCTTCTAGGATTATAATTTGATGGGAAAAAAGAATTGTTTTCAAAATAAACACTACTTAAACCTAAGTCTAAATAAAATAAGTTGTAAAATTAAAATATAACCAATAAGTGAAATAGAAACTTCCCAAGCTATAAGACCTGCACTACGATGAAACATAGACCATTACTTCAAAACAAACCAAATGCACAGGGAAGGTAAGCACGGAGCTTGAGCCACTGAGATAGATTCTACAGAGTATATTTTCGGATCATCAGAATCTGGAGAGAAGTGGCAATATTGGGGGCGCCTGGGTGGCTCACTCAGGTAAACTAACCTTTGAACCAAACTGCCTTTGGTTCAGGTCATGATTCTGGGGTCCTGCGATGGAGCCCCATATGGGGCTCCCTGCTCAGCGGGGAGTCTGTTTCTCTCTCTCTGTCTGCCCCCTCCCCCCACTCATGCTCTCTCTCCCTCCCTCCCTCTCTGTCTCAAAGAAAAAAAAAAAAAGAAGTGGCATGATTGGTAGGGAAGAAGGGGACAATGGCAGGTTAAATCATATTAACCAAATTTCCCCTTGGTAGAATCACCACTTTGCATTTTCTTAAAATGGGAAGTATTCTATCTTTGCTAAATGTGAATGTTAGGTGAGAAAGAATCTGTCTTGATAATGAAACTGGCAGGACACCAGCCCCAATGCCCAGTCTGTCCCGCCCAAGTTCCTTCTGCGCCAGGCTCTCCACTGAGCCCTGGGGCTAAGGAAAGTACAGGGCTAACTAAACAAAGCAGGACTTTGCCCAACACTTCACAGAGGCCCAAGTGATCCAGGAACGCAGAGGAAAGTGGAGAGCCTGTCATGGGAGGAGGGGACAAGACTTCCTACAGCAGCCTGCCTATGACCAACGTGGCCAAGAACAAAGTTCATAGTCTAATGATGTAATAAAGTCACCCAAGGCTAAGCAAGACCATGTGAGTCAGGTGTAAGTAAATGCTGTACAATTATCTGTCAAACCCTCGAGTGACCCTGAGACGACTTAAATTGCCAACAAGAAGTTCTTTCCTAATGTGCTCTGAGATCTTTGCCCAAGATGTCACTTCTGGCGATGGCCCTACCTTATTTCCAAGGTAGGCCTCTGGGGCCAACCAGTAATACTTGGAAGTCAGCCTCTGCAGGACCACCGTGTTGTTGATGCTAATCCGATGACGCCCACCCAGCGCATCTTGCTGAGACAGGATCTTGCTTGGACTGATCAGGTCGGTGACCAGCCACCCAGACATATCTTTCACCTTAAAAAAAGATTCAGAATTTCAGAATATGAAATTGAAGTCCCCTGAGATTTCACCCAGGCCAGTACTAATATCCCTACAATGAAGAAACAGACCCAGAGAGCTTAGCTAAGGACAGAACACCGTGGGGTTAACACACTGTGGCCACAGAACCACACGACTCATGACCCTTCTACTTGTCAAAGGATCAAGAAAATCTGAGAATGAGTCAAACACTCTCCAGATCCCCAGATCAATTATAAGCAAGTTGGCGAGCAAAACTGTGACGGACACAGATAATATATTTTAGATTAAAAAAAAAATAGCAAGGATCTTAATAGATGCATTGAACAGCTTTACCAAAAAGCTGAAAAATGTATAAAAATAACCTCCAGATCCTATCCTCCTGATTTATCATTTACAAAGAGATGACAAGCCATCACCCCAGCATGGTAGCCACAGGGATTCACCTTCATTCTTAGGTACTGATTGGGATTCCCACTCCCTCCCCGATGTTGCTCCCACTCCTCACCAACCTGCCAGGGAGGGAGGGAGGGAGGGAAAGGAGAGTCAGGGACTAGCAACCCCCCTACCCTGAATACAGCTTTCCCAAGATGGCCATGGGGAGGCCAGGTGGTTACCACGGATGAGCCCTGTGCCCTGCCGTCCTCCCTAACCTCAGGCCATCACACTGTCCTCCCAGGCACCATTTGGCATCCCCCTAGGACTCCTCATTCCCAAAACAACTGAGGAATCAGTTGTCTGCCCTCATAATCCCTATGTCACCTGTTGTTATTCCTACCCTCACCAGGTTCTCTGAGCTAGAAAATTCTGCATGAACCCATGTCCTGGCCTGAGACCAGTGTGGAGCAGTGGGTCCCAGAACTCACCTCTGACCCCACAACCAGATGCATTTCCCCACAGAAGAAATTGAGACATGATACATTCTACAGTATCATAACATCCTATTATTTGGATAGGGAAATATATGTAGGAACAAACACATGACCAAGAAAGAAACTTCTGTGACACTTTAGTAGCCGGCTGCCTCTGATCCATGCCAATGTCATTCCAAACGGCTGGGAGTGGTGGTACAGGGAAAGGCAGCCCCCTTGCTTTAGAACACAGCTCCCAGAGAGCTCCTTTGAGGTGGCACGTGTCTTAAATCCGGACTCGGGGAAGGTACCCGCACCTGACTGACGGACCAAGAAAGGCTGTCACAGACGTCAGAAACACCAAAGCAGAAGCACTCTGAGCAGCCCTCGGGGTTTCTCTCCTTCAAGTTATAGAATCCTGGCTTGCAGAGGTCACAATTGTCTCCCTCAACATTTTCCTGCATGGAGTAGAGAAAAGATTGGAAACCCGTGTGTCTAGATAGATAGAATAAAGTGACGTTAACAAGAAAGGTGTTTGGTGATCCAGAGAAACAGGTAAATAAATAGATACTCTGAGGAGACGTAAAGCCTCATGAAGTCATTATTTCCAAAACAGATATTTTGAAATTATGACCACTTAATTTTGTAGGCAAGAATGAGGGTCAGGATCCTAGAGCTCGGTCATTTATATTGAAATGACTTTTTTCATATTGTTTTGTTTGAAACCTTCCATTTTTGCTGATCTTTTGAGAATTTTAAAACCCGAGGAGGGCTATATAATTGTTTGTCTTATTAATAAATGCTCAAGATTATTTTCAGTCACTTATAAAATGTGCTCAAGACTCTGCTTACATGGGAAGAAGCACAGAAGATATAATGGGAAGTCCCATAAATTATGGTTATCATGGGGAAATGGATATTAATATCAGATAGCAAAAAACCCCCACCTCCGTGGTACCCAATGACTGTGTTTTTTATCATTGTCCAATTTCTTTTTAAGAGAAATCCAAAATAACATATCTGCCTTATTTGACATTTTTACAAATTTAGTATTTACCTGGTTCTCCTCTAAACATTAGGCTGGAACAGAATGTCAGAAGAGATAATGGCCCAGGCCTAAGAAATGCAGTATTTGGTTTCATCTTGGAAGTCACAGAAATACCTCCGGAATAGATGGCCATTGCCCAGAAGGCACCAAAAAAGCAAACTGGGTGCCCATCTAAGGCCAAGGACATAGACTATGACATAATGTCATGCTTCTCAGGAAGGTATGGGGAAGCAGAGTTCTATTTAAACCTTGCTGCTTTGCTCAAGAACTGATCACCTTAACCTATGGAATGTGTTGCTTTCTTAGGATACCTCAAAAGAAACTCAGGGTCATCTTTAACCTCCACGCATACCTTACAGAGACAAGGTTCTGAGCAGGGGTCCTCGTTCACACTCCCAGCCCGACTGCACTCACAGCGGACGCAGGCTGGGTAAGCCTTGTAACCAAATTGGCAGCGATCACATTTTTCTCCTGCGTAGCCTTCCTTGCATGGACACTGACCTGGCCACTTCCCTGGGAAGAAAAGGATGGCAATGGCCCAACAGGAGGGTAAAAAGGTTAAAGCAGGGGTTGGCAAACTATTTCTGCAAAGGGCCAGAGACGAAATATTTCAAGCTTTTTGGCGAAAGGATCTCTGTTGCAATTACTCAACTTTGCCCTAAGTGCTTGGGAGCAGGCAACAGATGGGCACAGCTCTGTTCCAATACAACTTTACTTACAAAAACTGGTGGTTTGCCAGATAATGGCCCATGGACCACAGTTTGTCAACCCTTAGTTTAAAAAAAGAAAACAGAGATGAAAAACAGAGTCTGGTGGGAATGTCAAATTGTACCATGACTTTGGAAAACAGTTTGGCACTTTTTCAAAATATGCAACATAGAGTTACTCTATGACCCAGCAATTCCACTCCTAATCATTTATCTAAGAACAATGAAAACATACAACCACAAAAAAGTTAGACATGAATGTTTGTAGCAGCATTATTCATAATAACCAAAAAGTGGAAACAAATGAAATACTCATGAACTGATGGATGGCTATATAAAATGTGGTACATACATACGATAGAGTAGTTTTCAGAAAAGAAAAAGAAAAAAAAAAAGACCAAAGTACTAATGGAGGCTACAGCATGGATAAACCTTGAAAACATGATGCTAAGTAAAAGAAGCCAGTCTCAAAAGACCACACATTGTATGGTTCTGTTTATATGAAATGTCCAGAATGAGCAAATCTGTGGAGAGAAAGATCAGTGGTTGCCTAGGGCTGGGGCGGAGGGCATGGAGGGAAGTGGGGAGTGATTACCAACAGGGAAGGGGTTTCTTTATGGGGTAATGAAAATGGTATATAGTGGGCTGTGTTGATGGTTGCACCCACAAATATACCAAAAAAACACTGAATCATACACTTTAAACTGGTGAATTGTATGGTAGTGAACTGTATCACAAAATAAAGCTGTTGTTGGTTTGTTGTTGTTGTTGTTGTTTTTGAAAGCACAAGGGAAATGGTAAAGGGCAATGAGCACTATCCCTGATTTTAATGGCAGCTCTGAAACTTTCAGCTGTGTAACGTCAGCCAAGTTCCTTAACTGCTCTGAGCTACAGCTTCCTTGCCTATAAAATGCATTAAATAATTTATATCTGCTATGGCTGAATGTTTAAATGATATATTTCTTAAAATGAACCTAATCAAGGGTAATTGTGACTACAATCAACATCATCCTCATTACCATTAGCATCCCATTACCAGTCCTGTGTAAGGATTAATTCAATTCTGTAAATTACCCTCCGCATTGTGGGTGGGCCCCCTGGTTGGCACATCCTTCCCAGCTGATCAATATCCATTTTAACAGCTAGTGACTGAGAATTTGATGAGGTCACAGAAGTCTTTGAACAGATGCAACCTTTTCAGGAGATTCTGGTATTTGCAAGTCCTTTGCCAGTTTTCGTAACCCAGAAAGAACACTGACATTTACAAAGTTAGCAGGAAAATTTGTTTGCTTTGCGAGATGATGTATGCAAAAGCCTTGTGAGTGTCTTCTAAGAGCTAAATAGAGGGATTGCTATTTACTGTGTTCCCCATATGGCTTTAAACTGAGCCTTATTTTTTCTCTCATCAAATGCTCAATTATCTGCTCAAATGTCATTTCATCACCCCAACATTGCCCTCTTTACACCCCATCTCCCTCCAATCATGACTCCCAATTTTGCTTCATGCCCACAGGACTCCTCCCTACCCAGAGTTATATTATGCATGTACGTGTTCGTTGAGTGTCTGTGAGCAGGAATTTTGATCATCTTGTTCAAGTACATATTCCTGGGCCCTAAAGAATTGCCTGACACATAGTAACTGCTTGGTAAGTATTTTGTAAACAAAAGAATCAATAGAGAATCATATCACTCAATTTCTATCCAATTATGATAGTTCCACCCAGTACAAATCTTCCACCAAAAAAAAAAAAAAAAAAAATCAATTCAAGCACAAAAACCAAAGACTTACCTTTGTGTAAGCCAGATTGGAGCTCATCTTTAATACAGACAGAACTGAGGGACCCAAAAGGGTCACAGTCACAGGGACGACAAGGGTTGTCCTCATAAGGAGACACCTGAAAGGCAGAGTTTGTCGTGGATTATCTTACTAGAATTATCAGCAATATTAGCAATAATATCAACAATAATACCAATGACAAAGGTACTGGCTTTTCACTCAAGATGTGACTATTATAATGATTTTGTATACCCAGGGAGTGTAGGTCTCAGGAAAATAATGTGAGCTCACGCCAGAAAGCCCCAAACATTTTTTGATGGGACAGTAGCCAGTATCATTAGCAGAGTGCCATTCTTTCTCATGACCACTGTTATGGGGCTCCCCTCCGCTCTCTCTCACAGCCATGTATAAGCATCACCTAGACCAAACCTCCACAGGGAGCCAGGTGGTAACTACATATTAGGTCAGCTGAGGATGGACTGAGCACTTCCTACAGGCAAGATACAGCTGCAATAGTTTTTGACTGACTCTTCCCATTCACAGTTAGTATTACAAAACCAAGATTACACAGCCAGTAGGGCCCCAAATCCAAGTTAAATAACAAGTGAACATCCTACTCTGAGCAAGAACACAGGACAGACAGAGCAGGAAACAGATATCCAAAAAATGCTACTAGCAGAATAAGAATATAAAGGAAATATTACAGAAGGGAATGAGTTTCCAGTATTGAAGTTGACCGTTGGCGAAATCTCTTTTCCACCTTGAAAAGGCAATGAAATTCAGCTATGGTGAAGAAACACTCTCACCTTGTATGGTCTATAATATCCATCAATACAGGTTTCACAATTGATCCCCATGGTGTTCTGCAGGCAATTGATGCAAACCCCTCCTCCTCGGAACTGTCCAGCAGTATTCAAACTTCTCCTCTGATTTGCAACACTTTCATCATAGTAACAGTCTTGAGTTTTATTGTGACAATTACATTCTAGGAGAATTTTAACATCTCAATTAATATATTTATTATGTCCTATATAAAGAAAACCCTTCCTTCCCTAAGTTTCTATGACCGTAAATTAAATTAAAATTCCAGAATAAGTAAATTTAATAGGATATGGGCAATCTTATTGAGGACGATTGGGAGTAGTCATCAAAATTATACACATGTACACCCATTTGACCCCTCAACCTATCTTCTGGGATCACAATCCCGCAGAAGTACCTGCACTTATGAGTGATATGTACAGGCTTAATCATCGCATCACTGTTTGTGTTAAAAAAGACTGGGAACACATGAACTATCCATGGATAGGTAGCTATTTTAATTATATTGCATCCATTTAATGGAATTCAGTGGTACTGTTTTTAAAAACAGCACTCCAATAGAGAACAAACTAGTGGTTACCAGAAGGGAGTTGGGTGGGGGGATGGGTGAAGTAGGTGAAGGGGATGAAGACGCACTCATCATGATGAGCGCTGAGTAATGAATATATAGAATTGTTGAATCACTATATTGTACCCCTGAAACTAACATAACACTGTGTGTTAATTATACTGGAATTGAAATAAAAAAATAAATAAAATAAAAATAAGAACAGCATTTCATATTGCTAACACAGAAAGATTTTGAAGACATACTGTTAAACATAAAAGCCATATGTAGAATAACATGCAAGCATGTCAGGCCCCATGTATGAACTACATTGGGGGTAGGGATATGTTGATGTATGTTTTATTTGCATAAAAATTTCAGGAAGAACATAGGATGGAGACAGAGTGGAAGGAATATTTTTCACTACGTATTTTGTATATATTGGTGGATGTTGGAATCGTGTGAATGTATTGCCTACTTAAAAATTAAATCCAAATTAGGTAAAGAATACATCCATATATGGGAAGAGGAACCTGAGATAAAATAGCAAATCCCTAAAGATACAGGTAGGTCTCAATACTTTAAATCGTATTCAGGTAGTATGTAACTTTGGGAACTATTCGAATATTTAAAAAAACAAGTTACGTCCTAGTCCCAATGTTAAGTCATCATCAAAGTAAGCATGTTAAGAAGGAAAAACACTACATCCTTCCATTCTCAGTAGACCTACTTTCACATGTGTTCCCAGCAGAAACGGTGCCGGGCCGCCAGGGCTGTTGGTGGTACCCTGGACAACACCTACTGCAGCTCTCTCCGCAGGTGTTATGCTCACACTGACACTGTAGCTTCTAGAAATGGAGAATACAAAATGACATCTGGAATTAACCTGTATATTTTTTGTAACTTTATTTATTTATTTTTTAAGATTTTATTTGAGAGAGAGAAAGAGAGAGCGTGTGCGAGCACGTGCACAAGCAGGAAGAGGGGCAGAAGGGGAGGAAGAAACAGACTCCCCACTGAGCAGGGAGCCCGATGCGGGGCTCGATCCCAGGACCCTGGGATCATGACCTGAGCTGAAGGCAGACGCTTAACGACTGAGCCACCCAGGC